GAGTTCCAGTTGGTCATTTTAAATCCACAGAGCCATCTACAATAGGTGGCCACTAAATATTTGAGCAGTTCCTATGTTCTGCTTATCTATAAGTAACTCTGGATTGAGAGGCCATGCAGTCACCCACATGGGACCCCCTCCAGGAAACCCAAGAGCTGTTCTTCTTTTTGTTTCCAGTTAAACTCCTGTTGCCTCCTTTTTTGGTTCTCAACTTCAGTCCTTGATGTTTGCGGAACCATGAGCTCAGAACTTTACAGTAACACTAGGTTTTGCAAGGCACCTGATCTGGGGGGAACCTCTACCTGGCTTTCCAAGCCTTCTTTTCAAATCTTGGTGAACACCACAAGGATCCCCCTACTGCTGCGTTTTGTGGATGTCACAAAGGCTGCCACCGGAAGAGCAGTACTGGTCCTGGTCCTGCTGGAACCACAGCTGCAGTCACCATGAAGCACTTTTTTAGTGAAAATCAGGAAAACAGAATCCCAAGGCAGCCTTGGGCACTGAGGTCATGCAAAGTGCCCTGGGCATGGTCCTGGAAACATTAGCCTTGTAGGTCTCTAGGTTTGTTATAGAGGGTTGGGCTTGAGGATTTCTGAGAGGCCCTCAGGGGCTCCTTGCTATTTTCTTGACTATCTGTGCTAATCTCTTTAGCAAGTAGTGACTTAGACCCTTCAAAACTTTTTCATTGCTCTTTTACTAGTAGGCCATAAATTTTTCAAATCTTTTCAATCTGTTTCCTTCCTTATGTTACAAATTGTGTTGAAAACAGCCAAAAGCACTCACACAAACCCTTCTCTGTTTTGGTTTAGATGTTTTTCTGTCAGATCCTCAAAGTCCATCAATTTTAAATTTGACTTTTGACAGACTGTGGGACATGAGCACTTTTGAGCCACCTTCTTTGCAACAGTGTGACAAGGGAAGCCTTCCTTCTAGAGTAAGTTGGATACTAATTTCTGAGACTAGTCCTTTAGTACCCTTGACTTCCAAACCTCCCCAGAATTACCTACAATTCTCTGCTTTATAGCATGCTAGGTCTTTCTAGCCTGCTCCTCCAAACTCTTCCAATCTCTTTTCATTACCAATTTCCAAAGCCATTTCCACATTTTGAGGTCAGCCCTACTCTCTGGTAGCAATCTTGTCTTAGTTCATTCTTTATTAGTATACCAAAATACTTGCGGGTAGTAAATATATTAAGAAAAAGAGGTTTACTTAACTCACAGTTCTGCATGTTCCAGGTCATGACTTCTGCACGGCTCTATGAAGGCCACTTGGTGGAAGGCATCACAGTGATGGGAATGCAAGTGAGAGGGAGAAGGGAGATCATGTCCAGACAGGAAGACAGAGAGCTCTTTTATAACAGCCCTCTCTTGCAGGAGCTGACCAAGGTCCCAGCAAAACCACATTAATTCTGGAGAGCAGTGCCCCCAGGCCCTCCCCTCAGCAAGGATACTTTTTTTTAAAGATTGCACTACTCATGTCATTACAATACCACCTGTGGATCTGACAAATAGATTCCAAGCTCTTGTGTATGGTGAGGAAAATATTGCAGGTGTACATTCAGCAGTATAAGAAGAGCAGCTATATTTATTAAAGATGAGGGAGATGTTTTCAGGGCAGGCCCATGCCAACAGAAGCAAAAATGTGATACAAACAGGAAGGTGGTGTCAGGGTGACAGGAAAATAAGAAGTACACTAATAAGTCAAGCTTTTGGACTTTTAAAAGAAGTTAACCCCACCTCTGATGTCTTTTTTTGGGTCTCTGGATAAGATTGACAGGGTGTTAAATCATCTCAGGGGCTTCTGACACTCATGTTCCTCCAGGAGTTCACTCTGATTAGATTACATACGTGAGACAGTTTATATGTATGAACCTTAACTAGGTTTGAACCAGGAGATCACGTATGTGCTCTGGCCTAGATCACTAGAGATTTCCCAGGTCTTTACTACTTTTATTTTTGCTTCTCTTAGAACAACAGTAGGAGGAGGATTAGCCTTGGGTATTGTCCAAATTTGGCTGGGTGGTGGGGGAGAAGTCTCCCAGTCAGAATTGTGCTATCTGCAGTAATTACACTTGGGCCCAAGCTTCCAAAGCACTAAACCCTGAGAAACAAATAGCATTATAAATAAAGCTTATATCCACATGTAAGACTTTGTGTTATTATGTTTTATTTTACTTGGGTTGATCATTGTGGAGGGAAATTGCTGGGCTAGGTGGTAAGGTTTTTAAGAAACTGCCAAACTTTTTCCAAAGTGGTTGTTGTGCATTTGTACTTATAGTTTATGAGCACTCCTCTTTACCCATTGTTTTCTAATACTGAGTATTGTCAGTCTTTGTGATTAGCTGTTCTAGAGGGTCATGGTATGTCATGGTATCTCACTGTGATTTTAATTTGCATTCCTTTGATTTAATTAGCAGTACTGAACATGTTTCATAGACCATTTTTCATTTATTGGCCCATTGTATATCTTCTTGGGAAACTGTCTAGTCAAATCTAGCACATTTTATAATCGTGTTGTATTGTCCTCTTACTATTTATTACAATTCCTTATATAGTCTATATTCAAGTATATTATCAGGTGTGTGACTTGTGTATGTTTTATCCTAGTCTATGACTTATCTTTTCCTATTTCTAATTGGTTCTTTTGAACTTGAACTTTTTATAAATTCATTCCTGTTATTTTACTTTTTGATACTATTATGAACAAATATTTTCTTAATTTCATTTTTATGTTAGTTGCTAGTATGTAAATACATAATAAATTATTATACACTAACCTTGAATCCTGTGATCTTATTTAAACTTGCTTATTCTAGTAGCTTTTTTTTTTTTGTCTTTTAAAGATAGTGAGTGTCTTGCTATGCAGTTCAGGCTGGCCTTGATCTCACTGAGCTTGAACTTGTAACAATCCTCTTGCCTCAGCCTACCGAGTGCTGGGATTACAGGTGTGTGCCACCACACCCGGCTTCTAATAGCTTTTTCATAGGTTCTTTAGAGTTTTCTACGTATGAAGTCATATCATCTGCAAGGGACACTTTCACTGCATCTTTTTCAATCTGTGCAGTTCGTTTATTTCATTCTTCTGATCTTATTTTGCTGGTTAGAATCTTTAACACAAGGTTGCATGGAAATAGTTAAAATGAAGATTCTTTTTTCTAATCAGGGGAAGCCACTCATCTTTAACATATAGCATTAGCTATCAGTTTTGTATCAGAAATCAGAACTAGAATGGAACTTATACAAACTAGTTCTGATTTCTGATTTTTCTTTTGTTGGAGTGGGGATATCTGTATCTTCTGAGATGATCATTTGGTGTTTGTGCTTTATTGTGTGTGGGGGGTATGTGTACAGTACATATGGATTATATTAATTGATTTGGAGATATTAAGCCACCCTTGCATTCTTGGGATAACTCACATGGTAATGGTGTATATTAACAATTTTATATATTACAGTATTTGGTTTAGTACTTTGTTAAGCATTTGTATATCTAAGTTTATGACAAATATTGGATTGCGGTATCCTTTATTTAAATGTCTTTGTCTTTGATACAAATGCTGTCAAATTTATTGCAAAGTATTTGCTCCTTCATTGTATAGGATTGATACCGTTTATTCCTTAAATACTTGAAGAAATTCCTCATAGAAACCACTTGGAGCTGAAGTTATTTTTGTTTATTTTTGACTGTTTAAATACACATTTGTTTTTTTTAATTAAAAAAATCTCAATTTATCATATGGCTTTAATAGATTTTTATAGCCCCCAAGTTGTTGATTTTGATGATTTTTATCTAGTTTTATACTTTTATTTGCTAAGAGAATTTGCTTCCATTCTTAGGCCACCACACCTACAAGTTGCACCTCTACTTTCTTTTTTAATTTCTGCATAATATTTCCTTTTATAGATGTGGGATAATTCATTTGACAAAAATTAGTTTTCTGGGTTTTTAAGTATATTTATAGCAATGATGCAATTCTTCTATATGTAACTTTACTTACTTGTGGTAATTTGCTAATCACATAGGTTCCTGCAAGTGGGATTGATGGGGTAAAACATATAAATGTCTATAATTGTATTTATTTTTTATTACTTATTTATTTACTATTTTCTTTTTTGGTACCAGGAATCGAACTCAGGGCCTTGTGCTTGCCAGGCAAGCACTATGCTTCTGAGCTACATCCCTGGCCCTATTCCTTTATTCTATCTATCTATCTATTTATTTATTTATTTATTGTCTTTTTGAGACAGGATCTCACTATGCAGTTCAGGCTGGTCTTAAACTCACTTTGTAGCCTAGGCTGACCTCAAACTTCTATGATTTTAATAGGTAGTATAAAATTATTTTTCAAAATTTTGTAGTAATTACCCTGTTAGAATAATATTTATGAAAGTTATCTTGTTCATTCCTTGTCAATAGTATATATGGTTAATCTTTAATATTTTTAAATATAGTCTTTATATATACTCTTATACACAATACTGTTTATATAATATATAATGTTAATCTTTAATATTTTTAACATAAAAAGCAAAATTGGCTGCACATGTTTGTGCATGTAATCCCAGTACTTGGGGAGCTGAGGCAGGAGGATCATTGTGAGTTTGACGCTAGCCAAGGCTACAAAGTGAGATCAAGGCCAGCCTGAACTACATAGTGAAATGCTGTCTCAAAAAGACGAAAAAAAAAGCAAAATTGACATACTTGTATTTGTATTTATCAAATTATAGTGAGCTGGAAATCTTTCCATATACTCTAATCATTTTGTTTTGTTTTATCACATGACATTTCATGTCCTTTGCTTAAATTTCAATTAGGTTGGTTTCTCTCTTTGTTATTAATTTATAAAAATTTTTGACTTTATAGTGATGTTAAATTTTTATGTGATTTGTTATAGATAGTTTCTTCTATACTGTCATTTATTTCCTTTTAGTTCTAACTTGTCTTCAAACTATTGAAAGCTTGGTTTTATAATTTATGGTTCTTTTATTTTTTTTAAACAGAAAGTTGTACAAGGGATCGATTTAAGCCGGATTCGAGGACTTGGGTTTGATGCTACATGTTCTTTGGTTGTCTTGGATAAGCAATTTCGCCCTTTACCTGTGAACTATGAAGGTAGGACCTTTCCTCTCCCTTCCCTGGTGGTGGAAGATGGGAAACTGGCTGGGGCAGTCTTGGTGCTGGGTTCAAAGTGCCCAGGTGCCCCATTGGGTCAGGTGCCTCTTGCCACTGATAGTGAGGTTTGGAGGTGGAATGTGGAAGCCAGAAATCATGTCACAGGAGTTAAAAGCTTGCAGAGCAATTGGAATGGAAGACTGGGGCTTTGGGGGATGGGTCAGATAGGGGACTTGGCTTTACAAAGCCTAAGAGCTATGGTAGAGAGCCTAATGAAAAAGAACTTTTTTAAATTTTTTTTTTATTTTAAAAAGAATAGTAAAAAAAAAATAGAACAATAGCAACATACCAACATCACAGACATAAACAAAATAAAGCAAGAACATTAAAAGTGATACAGGGTTTCAAAACAAAGTGATAGGAATGAACAGTGGTTGTTACATTACATATTGTTATCTTCAACTGCATTGCTCAGATTACCAGATGTAAGAATGCGAGATTATTCAAACCATTAAAGAGAATAAAAAAAATTATTAAAAAGAATTAGAGATAATACAGAGTTTCACTAGATAAGATGGTAAGAATTCACCAGTGGTTGTTCCAGTGCATATTGTCTTCAAATCAGTTGCTTAAATTGCCAGACAAAAGCATGCAAAATTGGTCAAAATATACAAGATTTTAAGCATTAACTGTCCATTTTCAGTATACCGTCAAACACCAGCAGTACAGTTATCCCAGCTACTCATACATATATTGCCTTCCTTTTTTCAAAAAAAGGACTTTTAGTCCTTAGATGGATAGGTGTGGCCTTGAACCTGTCATGTTATTTCCCTTTGGGGAAGGGAGCGTTAGGGCAGTTGTTTAGTTTATGAAGCTACCATCCAATGCTCATTTGAGAGGGTGAGCCGACTACAATTAAAAGAACTAGAACAAGGCAGACAGTACTATATACCACAAGACAATCACACTTAGTGGTGGTGTTCTGATAATTGATCATTGTGATTTCAGTAATGAGCTGTTTCAGATGTGAATTGCCACTTGGGCTCAACATCAGAGATTTTTCTGGGAAATTTTAGCCAATAGTACTAGCCCTAGTATTGAACACTCAAAGTCTGTATTAGTCAGACAGTAATGTAAATTAATAAAGTGAGCAAAGTTTGAGAAAAACAACAGTACATGCATGATGATAAACTATTGATATCGTACTTTGTAGTAAGTGGAAGACACTGGAGGTGGTGGTGCAGAGTGTGGTGTTCTGGAAATTAGATGTTCCATCTAAGGAGGCCTGTTTCTAGGCATTGTCCTTCAGCAGCTGCCAAGATAACTATTATAAACATATTTGGGGCTAGATTCTATTTCAGAACTATTAGTTGTGGACACTGCTGTAGTTGTGCCTTGCTCACTGATGACCGTGGTGTAGTATAGCAGGGCTCACTGGGACACACGGGAATTGGAGTTGCTCAAGAACCAGGTCTTAGCTCCTCTGTTGCTCAGCTGTGGTAACCTGGGTGAGACACTTAATCTCTATATGTCTCAGTTTTCACCTCTGGAAGTTGGAATAATGAAACAGTAGCTTTGCTGTGAGAAGTCAGAACCTGATAACTAAAGCTCAGGAAAGTTTCTTTCATTGATTTGTGGGTTCTTCAAGTTAAGGGAATGTGTTCCATTCACATCTATAGACTTAATGCATGAAATATGGAGTCAGAAGTGGCATATACTGAAAAAGTATGCAAGCACATGAATAACTAGAACACAGAGGGAATGATGACCATTCTCTGTGTGCTAAGCTCTGTGTTATTAAGTGTTGGGGCTTCAAAGATGAACTGAGTGATCCTTGTCCTCAGTAGGGATGTGCTAGAGCATTTGCCTTGTGCTGGTGAGGAGCTAGGACGGCCCCAGCCTGGGCCACCTCAGAGAGTAGAGACTGAGGGAAATGGAAACTGACCTCTGCTACACAGAGTGGGTACTCCAGGCTAGAGCTGCAAATGCACAGCTGGCTGGGTCCTGAGAAGGGACGAAGAGAGAATAAGAAAAAACTAGATATATGTAAAAAAGAAATCTGACACTGGGTGGGACCTAACCTCTCTGATGGACAGGCAGTGACAATCCAGCATGGTCTACATCTTTATTTATGCACAATAAAAGGGCGGGGAGAACACAATGGGGCCAAAAGTGCAAGGTCTCTTTTTTGCTGAGAACACTGAAAGAGAAACATTCTTAGAGCTATCTGTGCTGTAGTTAACAGGGAGGAACACCAAGGCCAGATACCTGCTGATATGGCAATGAGCTAGAGGTCAACTTGTTTACATGGTTTGCCTCTGGCAGCCTGTGCTTTGGGGATTGGCCTAGTCTCATCCTGAATATGTGGTTGAACTCCAGCTCAGCCGTGGCTTAGCTACTCTCCACAGGATAGGCCCTGGGAAAGTTGCCAGTGCTTCCTTTATTGGTTTTATTTGAGTAAAAGTTGAATGATTGTCTGTTATGGATGCTGCAGCAGAAAGTCTCATTTTGAATGAGACTTTAGATGTTCAGGGTCCTAGGTGTATGCAGATCCATACTATCTGATCAACTAAAATATGTGGTTGTATTTTAAACTCTACCTGTGCATGCATTGGTACCAACTGGAGGTCATTTTTTAAATTGTCATCCATACATCTTACTCCCCCAGTTGGTATTCAGTTGGCTTGGTATGAGTCTAGGGCAGTGATGAAGAACCTTTTAAAGCTTTCAATGATACAAGAAGCCCACTGTCGCACATGTGCCATAGGTTCACCACCACTGGTCTAGGGCATTCAACATTTTTAAAAAACGACCTAAGTAATTCTTATACGTGGAGAATCACCAGGCACAGATGAACAGATTTTTGGGAACAGATTTTGGGAGTGGATGAAGAGAATTCCTTGTTGAACCTACTTAAATAGGCATCCTTTCTGGATGCCATCTTGTTTTTTCATGTTGGATAGAAGTGCCACCTGTTAACAAATCCTCTATTAAAAGGGAAACTATGTTGCAATCCTAATTATAAGTGTTAAAGTAACTTTATTCCACCTAAAGTATTAAAATACACTTATTTATCAGCTGTGTCCAGCTGTGGGCTCCTTGGATTTCCACAGATTGTATTTAATTAGATTTTATCTGATAAGGTTACTGTGCTTGAAAATGAAATTAGAATTTTAAGATGGTTTAAAGGCTCTTTAAAGACCTGCATGGTGGAGACCCACTGCAGTAATTGTGAGAAGCAGGGAGTGGGATTAGGAAGAGGACAGATCCCCTGTCACTACTGAAGCCAAACCCAAGAGGTTGGCAGAAGTGTTGGCATCTTTAAATGTCAACAAAAATTAAAACCCAGAACAAATTAAGTATAGTAGTTTAAGAGCACTAAGCATTACTGTATGATAAAACAACTTCATTCTTAGCCTTATCTGGCCTGGTTCTTCTTGCTTTGAAGATCATAATGGCCCTAGATCAGTCATGCAGTCACTTTGGTTCCTCTCCTGCAGCCTTTCCAGTCCCTGCCTAACTCCTGTCAAGTCCTCTGGCCAGGCGTTCTGGGGCAGGGAAAAGCAAGGGTGATAATTGGGGCTAGGGCGGGAATTAAGCACCAGGCTGCTCTGTGCAGCAGAAATCTAATATGTGATTTTTTGCTGGTTCATAGTAATTTTTTTGCCCTCAAATATGCTGGGAACACAACCTGTGTGGTACTCAAAATTTTTATGAAGTGATATCTGATGAATAATATGCCTTTAGGTAAAGCTGACTTGTAACTCTAATTCTGCTGTACTGGATTGCCTTGGGTTCTCCTAAAATAGGTGATCTTTTCTGGTTTGTGCTCTTTTACATGCTCTTTCTGTTATGATGAGCCTCTTTCTTCACTCCTCCTCCACAGCTGACCAGAATTAAATGAAAGCTTTCCTGTCTTCTGGAAGACCTGTGTATAGCCTCACACTCAGCCTACTGGAGCTGAGCTTCTCCTCTATTTCCCCAGGCCGGGTACTCTGTTCTGCCAGTCAGTACCCTGAATAGGCTCTTTTTCTTCTCAGACACATGCTCCTCATGGGCAGGGATTGAGGTACATTCTTCTTGATATCCTGGCACCCAGCACTGTATCACAAATATGTACTAGATGTTCAGTAAAAGATTAAATTAATTTTCAGTTGAGTCATTTACTTGTGACTTTCTATGAGAACTGAAGATTGACTCTTCAATTTTTGTCTAAAATGAGAGTAATCCAGGTGTTGTGGTGCATGTCTTAGTGCTCTGGGAGACTGAGGTAGGATTGAATTTTGAGCCCCACCTGGACAGTTTAGCAACTTAGGGAGACCCTGTCTGAAAAGACATTTTAAAATACTGAAAAAAAGAGCTGGAGGTGTATAATCATGCAAAGGCCCTAGGTTCATTTCCCAGTACTGTCAAAAAAAAAAAAAAAAAGAAAGAAAAGAAAAAAGAAAACCCTCCCAAACCAGTAATAATCATAATAAATATAGTAAAGTGACTCTGTACAATTCTCATTATATTGTTTTCGTATTCTGCCTGTAGTAGCAGTAGCTAATTGACTTCTCTTTACTACAGTAGGAATATAGCAAGAGCTGTTTTTGTCTTGAAGCAGTTATACATATGTTCTCTGTAAGATTTAATAAACTATTGATTTTGCTCCCATCAACTATACCCACTATTACACAATTCTGGTTCATTGATGGTTTTGGGTAGGATGTGGACATCAGTGTTTTCAAAAGTTTTCAGATGAGTTTCATGTGCACCAAAAGCTGAGAACTGGAGCCTGCAGCAATTCTGCTATATAGTAGAACCTCATAGAACTTGGTACTTGCAAATGTGCTTTTTAAAATATATCTGTGGACAGTCTCATGTACCCTGTCTTATTTTCCAAGTATGTGAAAGCTGTTTTGGGGACTTGAGATCTTTCTAGTCAGGCAAACAAGTGACTGAGTCTTTTGATTTGCAGTTTGTTTCTTACTTAGATATTTTCATAGGTTGACCTTTATTTTTCTTTCAGTTTAAAAATTATTTTCAAAGATGTACAAGAGTTAAAAATCAGTTTTTTACATATCCATTATTGAGGACAAACCTGAGATTTTGCTATGGTTGCCTCAGGTCTTCTTGAGAGAGATGGAGAGACAGGATGGGGAAGGGGCTGAAGGAGTGAAGATTTGTGGTGCATATGGGCCAGCTCCCCACAGGGAGTGTAGACGTTGTGTATTTCCATGTGTACTAATAAACTAAACAAAAAAAAACATTTGTAACTTTACTCCTTTTCCCCAGATACCCTTTCTAATTGCTGCTCATAAATCATTTGTTTTTGTGCTTTTATTACATATGCATGTAGCTATAACAACAACAATATGTATTCTGTCTTGAATATGTATTCTGTCTGTCATGAATACTTCACTAGTACCATATTCATGTTGCTATATCTAACTCTGGTTTATTTATTTTACCAATTTATTCTGTTGGCAGATCTGATGCTAAGGCACACTTCATGCATTTGGCCGCTGCAAGACATTGGGTTTATTGTCAAACCTTAGAGCCTCAGACTGTCAGAAATGGGTTTAACAATCCTCATAGAAAGTATTATTTTGAAGATTGTGTGAGGTGATAAATGTTTAGCACAGGGAGACACAGAAACAGACATCACAAACACTTCCTCTTAGCAAGGTATGCAGTTGTTGCATTTATTTCACCATCAGTTAATGGGTGAAAATGCCTGGTTCAGTAAATGCTGAGTCCCTGTTCTTTGTGACCATCTCCCAGGTGTGTTCACTTCTGTCCTCCACTCAGTGCCTTGAGAGGCTTCACAAGTGCCTGTCGGTGCATGAGGAAGTCACAGAGGCTGAAAAGGGCAGAGGGCACAGTTTTAGTACTCTGTGGGATATGGGATGGAAGAAGAAGGATATGAGGTTACTGCTCCTTTTGCAGCTGGTTCAAACTCTTGTCCTTCTGATTACTCCCCTGGGCCTTGCATGGGTTGGGGACTTGCCACATCCCTTCTGTGCATAACTTTTTATTTGGTATAGGATGAAGGATCTCAGGTATTATTTTCCTCATCGTATACACAAAGACACAGAGATAAGTTTGATAATTTTCTCAATATATCTCCCACAGTAACTTAAGGGTCAGCATTTCTCATGCAGTATGCTTATTCTAGAACTCACGTATTTTCTGTCCACCAGTGGGATAAGGGAAAAAAGCCCTAAATAAACTAATTTTAGATAAATGGACTAGAAAAAGTGGGAATATAAGCAAATGAACTAAGTATTGTGTAGCTGTGAGGAGTATTATACTGTCAAAATGTTTGTCCCTATTTAATGTACACCTTCTTAAAAATTTTTTTGAGACAGTCTTGCCATGTAGCTCAGGCTGGTCTTGAATTCACTACGTAGCTCAAGCTACATAGCTCAAACTCATGGCAGTCCTCCTGCCTTAGCCTCTGAAGTGATGGCATTATAGGTGTGTACCACCACACTTGGCTAAAGTATAGAAGTCTTTAAAAAAGACAATGTGTCCTTTTAGGCTCTTTTCCCCAATGTATGTCCAGAAAAATTTCTCTTGTAAGTAAAACTAAAATTTTAAATACAAGCCTGCAAAAAAGCCTGCCAAGAATGCCCACCAAAATGAGGTGGATATATCTGGACAAACCTGGTAATAAAACATTCCTTCCTTTGTGTAACCTGTGTTTCTTTAACTGATGACCTTGCAATGTAACTTCAAATATAATGGGACACTTCTTCCTTTATGTAACTCATGGTTGTTTAACTGATGGCCTTGCAGTGTAACTTCAGGTATTTAAACTTCCTTAGCATCCCATGATTTCTCCCAACTCTCCAATCACAATGTGCCAAATCTACCCTTGTACCTCCCCACTTACTTACCCCATAAAAGCCCTGAAACCCGCAGGGTTTTAGGAGTGTTTAGGAGCAATCCCAGTCAAGCCCACTGGTGTAATAAACTGCCTCCTAAACCTTCTCAGTACCGTTTCTTCCTGTGCTTGATCTGTTTTCCATAACAAAAGAATGGGAAAGGAAGAGAAAACATTGAGGGAGAATGAATGATGAATACATGGCTTGATGGGAAATGAGGGCTTTGGGTTGTGGTGTAGCAGGGCCCTGCTGGTGTCCTTTTATTTTGTTCATTTCTGATACATGAGGTTAAAGTAGAGATAGTGCACATTTTGTCCTGGGCATCTGTCATTAAGCAAAGAATGCATGTCTATCCTCATCCATTTCTGCTAGGGGATTTCCATCGAAACATCATCATGTGGCTGGACCACCGAGCCATCAGTCAGGTCCAAAGGATCAACGAGACCAAGCACAGTGTCCTCCAGTATGTGGGAGGCCTGATGTCTGTGGAAATGCAGGCCCCAAAGCTCCTGTGGCTGAAAGAGGTGAGTGTACAGGGTGTGGGGAGGACACTACTGGTAAAATGTTCCTTCGCTGTGGAATAGTGATTCCTCATTAAAGTCTGTACTTTGCCTTTTCCCAGCTACTCTGAGTAGAAAGTTGATCCCATCTTGTTGATTAGATGCAGCTGAATCACTCCTGTTTTCATATGTGTACATTGCACCAGGCTCTGTGATAAATGTTTTATGTTATCTCTTTGAATCCTCACAACCACACTATGAAGCAGATCTTCTCTCTCTCTCTGTCTCTGTTTCTCTCTCTGTTTCTCTCTCTCTCTCTCGTATAGGTTTTTCATTTTTTAGACAAGAAACCTAAAACTCTTACAGAATAAAACAACTAATCCAAAGTGACAGAAATATATGACAGAGCCAGGATTTGAATCTAAGACCAGCTGATATCAAAATGAATTCTGTTTAATATCTAGACTCGGGGCTGGGGATTTAGCTCGGCGGCAAAAGCGCCTGCCTGGCAAGCGCAAGGTCGTG